ATTAAAATAGGATAAAGGTATGTCAACTCAAAATTTAAAAAGGAAAAATTGAAGAAGGGGGGGGGGGGCGTCCAGCCCCAAGTGCCTGTAATGAAAGGTAGATGGAATAACTGGACGGGAGTTGATAAAATGTGTATATTTAAACTGTACATATAAAGACATTATTGTCTTCATCTTGTTACTATTTATAGTCATGATATTAAGCTAAAGTTACTCTACATTAAACAAAATCGTAAACTTTGATTAATCATAATTATTCCATATGAACTATCACTGAATATCGAAAACTATTTTATAATCATGAGTCATTCTTTCAAATCTTTGCTTAAAAATATGTATGACGTAAAATTTCGAATTTACTATTTATAGACAGAAATTTCCGAAATTATTTACTTACTAAATATAGATTATTGTACATTCCTAAAACGAATTGCTGATTTCGAAGATGATGATTTTTTCTCCTTTGGGGGGGGGGAGGGAGGGGTTACAAACAATTTATAAATCTTAATTACAGTACAAAAGTGTCAATTAAAACCATACCTTCCATGAGTCTACCACCTGTTGAATTAGAACTCTTTCACACTTATATTTTCATAAAATGCAGTCCCTCATGAGCGAATTAAGTAAATCATGAAATATATGTCTGCTTAAGTATGTGTCTACCCTTATGAACTGTTCAAAAACTGCAAAAATATACTTAAACATTAATATTTTACATTTAAATACAAGTGTTTGGAAGAACAGTTTATTAAGATCTGATCTGGTAGTATTCTAGTATTCTAAAAGTGTTCAACAGATCAAGCATCATTATAAACTGCATGTTGATCTCCATTTTTATATCCCAAATTATGAGAGAAAAAAACAAACAAAAAAGTGTAACATTAACGTTATTTTACTCATGGATTTGGTAAAGGAAGTGTTGTTCGATCGACCTATAGGATGTTAAATATACAAAGAAATAACCCCTATTGTGAGCCTCTTAAAATGATCAGTTGCAAATTGAAGTAAATTGCTTGCATGTGTAGATCATCTGTGTGTGTATGTCAACAGGTTCTTTTCATTGAACATTTTTACCGCAACGCACGTGTCGCGTTTAACCAATGAATGTGCGACATTTCAATCGTGGGAAAAAATTATTTGACATGTCAACATCATCATCTGACAAGTCGACATAAATATAGATATAACAAATCGACATCATATCCGATTATCAACATAATTATCTGACAAGTCGACATAAATATAGATATAACAAATTGACGTCATAATCGATTATCAACATCATTATCTGACAAGTCGACATAAATAAAGATATAACAAATCAACATCATAATCGATTATCAACATTATTATCTGACAAGTCGAAATAACTCATGACAAAGCTACTTTTCAGATTATCATGTAAACTTGTCTGATATTTATGTCGACTTGTCAGATAATTATGTTTATATGTCGGACATGTATACTGACTTATCATATGTTATGTTGACGAGTAGATGTAAGCAAGTGGCAGTAACACGCATTAATATCAAGATACCGAGTCCCTCGTAATATTATCTGACAAGTCTACATTAAGTTCTGACAAATTGACATATATATCTGTAGAGTTAACATAAACATCTGACAAATCTATGATTATATAACAAATGATGGTGGAAACATGCCACCATACCTGACAGATAATGATGTCACCTTGTCAGATAAGTCGACTTGTCAGGAAGTTAGGTTGAATAGTCAGATTTTATGTCGACTTGTCAAATAATTATGACTTCTCAGATCCTTCTGTCCACTTGTCAGAAAAATATGTTGTCAACTGTATGACACAATGGACATGTACACGTTTTCATGTTGAATTTCTAAACATGTGTATAAGTAACAAGTCAAGAAAAAGAACTGACGAGCTGACATAAATATATGACGGGTCGATACAAACATCTGATAATTTGTGGTAGAACTATGCCGCCATAAAAACAGTTTGATTTTTGAAATGTTTTCCCAAAAATAGGATTTATAAATAGTAACCACACTGTTTTTGGAAATCTTTGTCCATAAATAGTAACACAAAAAATATTGTGTCATCAAAACATTTTGTTCATTTTTGACTCTTCAAGATTGTAGAGTCAGTGCATACGTAATCATCATATATTTATTTTTGAAAAGTTAAATTATTACAATGTAAGAAGTAAGTCAATCGAACCCCCTTCATCCGTCTTTTTCTGAACCATTAAAGTTTACTTCATTGTGATCTAAGTTATCTATTTTCAATTGCTATTATGAATGAAAGTTAAATTCTAAGCAATTATATGAGCCGCGTAAAAGACTTCTATTAGTTGCTGATTGGATTAAAAAGTGGGGTAGGATAAACCCAATGAGAGAGGGATTGACCTTCTCTTGGGATTGTATTTAAAGCAATACTCGTATGTGCTGCAATTTTGATGTCAGAAATTTTTGTTGCAATATTGTTGTTAACTATTTCAATGACAGAAAAAAAAGAATGATTATAAACTTCTTTTGTTCATATTTGCGATGGAAGAACTGTTTATAAGCTTTGATTATATGAACAAAATTACATTATTGTCATCCGGTACAATATTGATTTCTTATATCGCTATATATTTGATTGTACAGAATCTATTCTGAAGCAATTTGATACTTTATTTCTATCTAATTGATAAAAAATTGGCAAGTCTTAGCTTAATTAGTCTTAGTCTTAAATACAAACTTATCATAACACAGTTTAACAGCAAATATAAAATTCTCAAAAATGCAGCTCATGTTGCTTTAATTTCAAGCTTGCATGATATTGCAGTTTGTCGTCAATAGATTGGTTGACCAGTTTTTCAATGCATGTCGTCATGGTAACATCTACGATAAGTCTAAATGGTTTCAAAATGGCGTCCGATGCACGCTGTTTGAGTAATCACATATTTTTAACTGCGAGAATATAAACCCGTAAAAATATCTCACAATATCATAATGATAACCATATGATTTTATGTATCTTGGTGCTGTAAAAAAAAATGTTCAATGAAAAGAACCTGTTTACATACATACACAGGTGATCTACACAAGCAACACACTACAATTTGCAACTGATCGTTTTAAAGAGGCTCACAATAGGGTTTTTTTCTTTGTATATTTAATATCCTATAGGTCGATCGAACGACACTGTTCCTTTACCACATCCATGCAAAGAGTAAAGTAATGTTAATGTTACACTTTTTTGTTTCTTGTTTTTTTCATAATTTGGGACATAAAATGGAGATCAACATGCAGTATATAATGATGCTTGATCTGTTGAACACTTTTAGAATACTAGAATACTACCAGATCAGATCTTAATAATCTGTTCTTCCAAACACTTGTATTTGATTGTAAAAAAAAAATATTTTAGCAATTTTTTTCTGCAATTTTTGAACAGTTCATAAGGGTATGGACATACTTAAGCAGGTATATATTTCATGAATTATACGTCATTCGTTCATGAGGGACTGCGTTTTGTGAAAATATAAGCGTGAAAGAGTTCTAATTCAGCAGGTGGCAGACTCATGGAAGGTATGGTTTTACATGACACATTTGTACTGTAATTAAGATTTAAAAACCACCCTCCCCCCCCCCCCCCCCCCAAAAAAAAAATCATCATCTTCGAAATCAGCAATTCGTATTTACACGATAATCTATATTTAGTAAGTAAATAATTTCGGAAATTTCTGTCTATAAATAGTAAATTCGAAATATTACGTCATAAATATTTTTTAAGCAAAGATTTGAAAGAATGAATCATAAAGTAGTTTTAGACATCCAGTGATAATTCATATGGAATAATTATGATTAATCAAAGTTTACCATTTTGTTTAATATAGAGTTACTTAAGCTCAATATCATGACTATAAATAGTAACAAGTTGGAGACAATCCTGTCTTTAACGTACAGTTTTAAATATACACAATTTTAACGACTCTCAAAGTTATAATCTTCCAATATCATACAGGACGTCCGGTTATTTCATCTTCCTTTTATGATATCGGCTAAGTCTAGCTTAACGTTCTAGATCGTAGCTTTACGTATATGCTACGAAGCCGAATCACTCCTGAACGCACCCAAGTTGTCATATGAATCAAGATGGTTGAATTGGGGCAAATAAAATTTCTACATGTTGCAAGGAATTCCTTCTATTTCTGACTCACAAAGTTATAACGCTATTATCACACAGTTATTTCATCTTAATCTCCCTTTGATGTTTTCAGAATTTCTTCAATGCATACGACCGAGCTTATACTTTCAGTTTTTATGCATATTGCAAGGTATATTTCATAAAGCATTTTGTTCATGTAAGTATGCGATTGTGAGAAGACTACGCGTGGAAATTTCTGTCTATAATTAGTATATCCGAAAATATTGCGGCAAAATCATTTTTATTTTCTAAACTGAAAAAAAATTACAAAGAGTTTGTAATAATAATTCATTGTACGTGTGGAATGACCAAGAATATTGTACCAAAAAAAAAAAAAATCTTTATTTGTAACAAAGTAACAATATCATAACTATAAATAGTAACAAGATGGCTTCATGTTTAGAATAGTTGTCATACGAAATAAAACGATTGAATTACATGCAGTATGTGAATACACATATAAAACTCATATGGTAAAATGGTATAAACGAAATCGTTTTATTAAAACACAACACACAATATTCATAAGTTTCAACCAATTTTTTTATCCTGTATCACTACAAATGTTGTACTGTAATTTTCACTTAGATACATAGTATAGTTATATCCACCTGTGGAACACAGTCAAATGCACGTGTTTGTAAAATCACAACTTCTACAATATGATCTCATGAAAATGTCTCCCAACTTCATACAGCGATGACCATGACTGAACGTATATCCGGATGCGGTAAAACATATATCAATGAAAAGTACCTATATCTATAGATAGGACCTCTACGCGAGCTACGCTCAACTGCAGTGTTATTCGGAGGTTTACAAAAGTTGTTATAATTCCTCATATGGATTTATTATGCACTATGAATAAGTCGACCTCACAACACTAATATAAAATGTTGATTTTTTGGACCTATATATAGGCAATGCACAACCTCCAAGAAGAGTAACATCTCAGTCACACTTTTTTTCGTTTGTTTTGTTTTCTTCATATTTGGGGTATGAAAATAATGATGGGGCAGCGTTGATTGGTCACCTATTGAGCACATAGAGGACATTCCCGGGGCAGATCTTCATGTGGTCCTCTAGCCTCTTTCTGAGTTCGTCTCTCTCCGTCTGTAGAATCCTCATTTCCGCCCTCAGGCGTGTATTGTCCGACTCCAAACCTCGTACCTTCTGTAAAACATAAAGCAATTATACATATCACATGTTTCAACCGATTTCCAATATATATAGATTTCAAAACGATATCAAAATATTACATCATTCTGCAAATAACGATTTTTAATAGTTTTAAGTTCTTACATTACATGGAAATTAAATGATTTAATTATTTCCCCTGAAATTTTGTAAGGTGATTTAGACTTCAAAACCCATAAAATTTGTATAATGAAGGGGGAAGGGTTAAGTCAACTGTTACATGGACTTGACATGTCTAAGGACGCCTTACCTTTTGGATTCGTTCTCCGGTCGTTTTCTGCTTTAGCCGGAACCGCTGTGCCGCCAGTCTGTTTTGTTCACGTCTCCGGTCTACCTTTTCTTTTTCCTCCTCTGTTAACTACACGAGAGTTCAAACGAACACCATCTTAAAATTTAGTACAATATATACTAGGTCTTGTATTAATTAATAATTTAAACATTTTCTATTTCCAATATTTTTACAATAACATGAGAATATTTATTTCATTATGACCCTGACTTAATTCAGAGTATGTCAGATAAAAACAATCTAAGTAATTAAGTATTACAAGAAGGAACAGAAGTCGGTAATTCTTCTGTACAATAATATAGTTTCTTTACCTCTGATTGTGTTGGAGGTTCGAAATTGACTGTTAATTCCCCCATACCGGCCGCTAGACGGCGCGACTGTATGGTCAGTTTAAGCTCTTCCTTGACCAGTGGTGTCATCTCTCCTGTATCCAAGGCTACGAGAGCGGCGTCCATTAGACTATCCTGGGAAGAATTCGGATAATAATCCGTTTTCGCCATGTTTTCTGTTGGGTAAAAAAGGCCTTTGTCTAGCATGTCTCAACTTATCTGTAACTAAAAATTCAAAATACGGTAAAATAGCGATAAATGTATAACATGTATATGTAAAACATACTGAAATTTTAAGCGGTGCCGACTAGAAATTTAATTCACTAAACATAACAACATGTACAAGGTCCGTAACATAATTCTGAATTTTTAATGATAAATGATACCTAAACCATGTGTAAACGTAATTTGTACGTTTAATTTGTCTAAGTTTTTAATTTTGAAATCTATTTTAATCGATCTCTTTTAAAGGATTGAAATTAAAGTATTTTTTTTTATAATGAATGTAAAACTGAATCAGATAATTCTATATCTGCACAATTGATATACTTAACAAAAATATTTTAATTTTCTGACAAGTTTTTTTTTTCTTCTTATTTGTCAATCTTATTTTAGCAAGAATATATTTGTACAATATACAGTATTATCCAAGGATAAACATGTATAATTTTTCAACACTTTTATGAAGTAAATTGCTAAATACATATTAAAAACAACACATATATCCCGAATTATACATAGAGTAACATAGGTGAATCAGCATTATTTCACACATACTATTTTAGTGTCCGTTCTCCTCCACGTTGCTGGATATTTTAAACCGTTGTGCAATCTCGTTACAATATTTATAAATGCCCTGCGCGGGCGTTGATCCAAATCTATATTTAGCTATGACGTACAAATATGTGACATGATCTCTATAGACTGGTTCCCGAGTACCAGTATAGCAATTGATCAACAGTCTATAAAAGATATATGATATATGTAAAATTTCCCTAAAATTACAACCCTGTTTATAAAAATATATACCAGTACGTTAACCTCAGAATAACCTAAATTTGCAAACATTGATATAACCAAAACAGTTCAGCTCAGTTTAGTTTAGTTTTCATGCGAATCGCAAAATAAGAATTTCCCTTTGCTATTTTAAGATAGATGACAGGCCTTTTCAGCTAACCTAGCATGTGACTGAATATTTCCAGTTTCCGCGAAAAAGTCGGATACACACACCTTCTATGACTGACTAAGTGAACATATACTATTTTTTATATGAAAAATATACTTAGATGAATATTTCCTTGTCGTTTGGTGTTTTCAAATAATTAAAAAATGATTAAAAATTAATGATCGACCCTATATACAATCAATAAGAAATAAAAATTGCATATAATTTGCGTATGTTTAAAATGTCCTTAATTTTTTACTTGATGTTTCAATTTAGAACAAGCATTTGCACTTATTTAGGGTTCGAAATTTGTGTCGAAAAATACCTACCTCAAGTATGGAATCAATTTATTTAACGTTATTAAATTTTATTTTATTTAACGCTATAAAAGTCCCCTTTTCCTTCTTATTTCAACGTAATTAAAGTAAGGTCCCCCTTTTTTTAATATATATATATATATATATACAATTTCATAAGCAAGGTATAAATAAAACTGAAATTTATTTTTAAAAGTACATGTATATGACGATTGATTTTTCTCTCTTTTGCACAAAACCTGCGTGCCATTCAATCAATTTTCAGTATTTTTACTTTTGTACAATATATAATTTTCCTGAACATGTATTAAGCTGGGGGAAAAAATCATAATGATTTTATTTAATTATTGAAATGTACGTCTTCCATTAATTTTTATCTGCTATATAAGGAGAACCTGAATATTTGAACTAATTAATAGATGATACACCGCTAACCAGGAAGTTTACTTAGTTAATCTGTCTTCCTCTTCCTGAAAAAGAAGCCCTGACTCCTTGAATTTTAATAAATATAAAAATTTTAATCCGGCATATTTTGGGCAATGTATATCATTATTATTTTATCTCTATGAGAAATATATATAGAGAGGTATAATTTAGATACATATATATGCAGATATTTCGTCAAACATTTTCAAAATTTTCAGAAATAGGGCACTAGCTCCTATTCCTTTTTTGAAAATCACCAACTTCGCTTTCATACGACAGTACTGTATTCCTTACTCAACCTATACGAAAAATGAAAGTACTTATATGTTATACATTAAATAGTAGAATTTTGGAAGCCAATTCATATTCTACCTCTGGGATTAATACATGTACAGCTGATAAAAATACAAATAAAATATGCTAAACCAAGAAAAATCAAGATATAATTCAAAAATCTAGCTTTGAAAGGTATTAATCCTTAATTTGAAAGATGCTGTCGATTTAGAAATGAAGCCAGATATATTATAATATTCTTTAGCATCTATTCCTCAATGAATATTGTTAACGTGTAATTGGACAATAGGGAACAAAAATAAATAAATACGCACTTCCTCAACGCAATTTACGCCACATTATGACTTAAGTTTCTTTTTTATCTCTTTATGACTCAAAGTGGAATGATCAATAATATTTGGGTGATATTTAATAATGAACCTATCGGCTTCCGTATTGACCAACGTGTTTAAATATAGGTGTGACCTTTTTTCGGGGGGGGGGGGGTCCTGAGTTGTGTAGATTGGTTGAATAACTGGAATAAATGAATTTAAATTTGTATATGGTTTCGTTCTCCTCCAATTTCAAATTAATCCTAATTGGTTGTGTGTGTGTGTGTGTGGGGGGGGGGGGGGGGTTACATAGACCGAGATAAAAAAAAAATTACAAACTCTATTAGTCACAGATTTGTGTGTGGTGAACTTACAATTCCGGCGTCACTAAGGTCCACGAAAGGTTCGTTGTCCTCTTCCGACCCAGGATGAAGAAATTGAGTCGGTAACAGGTGAGAATTTTTCCCCCCAGAAAATTTCAAAACCAATGCTTACTTTTCAAAATCCATTTTTGGGAATACATATAAAAAATTCTTCCAGGAGGTTAAAAAAAAGTTTCAAGTCGGGTTTTTTAAACATAAAAAATTATAAATATACCCCTCTCCCCTCACACCCCATCATTACACACACGCGTGAAAGACGTCGATCCTTCCCACTTTATCATGTGTATATGGTATTTAAAAATAAAATTCTGGGTTTCCTTGAAGTTAGTTGCATTTACTACCTATTTGTTGGTTATTTGATGCCCTATGTATGACTTATTTTTAGGGCTTACACAGGCCTAGGAGTACATTCATTGACCTGTACCTTCACAGATCACTTCCTATTCAAGCACTGCTGAAAAAAAGACAGAAAAAGCAAATCTTCCTCATGTCATGAGTGTAAAAGCTTTATTGATGTTTATAATTTTATTAAACTTCAGATTAAATATTTTGCCACTTCCCTATTCTTGTCAAGAGGACAAAACAGAAACTTTAATCATAAACTGATAAAGCAAGCTAATTACATGTACTTCATAGGATGACTGGCAGCATCAATTATATATAATAACTGAATTGTAAATTGACCCATATACTAAATGTAAACATCTAAAATCAGAAAAATAAACTTTCATCTTGAAAAACATTAAAAACAGCACTGTCAAGTCAATAAAATGACTGTTTAACATGCTCAGCACATTCTAGAGAAACTTCAGTGAAAATGTGACAAATTGAAAAAAAAATTACATATCAATAAAAGTTTATTATTGCCATAGATTAAAAGATATCATTTTAGTTCAGTTGCCATAGATACATGTATCAAACACATAACAAATTAACAAAGGATCACATTCACAAACATAGATTGAACCAACCCAAATAATAAAATAAAGTGCAACAAGCACAAATAAGGCCTGATCACAGAGTGACCTCCCTTTCCCCTCCAAATTGTTTGATCTTTAGAACATGGTCACTACCCACCAAGTAACAACCCCTCCTTCCCCAGTGGTTTGTTTCTCATGATATAGTACCTGAGTACCTGCCCACTATCCCACCATCTCTTCAGCTGTGTATGGACCAGTAACCCAACCCCCCCAACCCCCAACCCTCCCCAGTGATTTGGACCTCATGATATAGTGCCCAACCCATCAGCTCTTTAGCTGTGTGTGGACTATTACCCCTGCCCCCCTCTCCCCTTCACAGTGGTTCTGTCCTCATGATAAAGTGCCCATCCACTTGCTGTTTAGTGTGTATGGATCAGTAACTTCCCCCAACCCTTTCAAGTGTTTTGTTCCTCTTGATATAGTACCTGCCCACTAGCTGTTTAGCTGTGTATGGACCAGTAACTTCCCCCGCCAATCCCCAGTGGTTTGTTCTGGATGATACATGTATAATGCCCACCCACCAGCTCTTTAGCAGTGTGTGGACTGGTACCCCCCCCCCCCCCCCAGTGGTTGGTCCTCATGATATAGTGCCCGCCCACCAGCTCTTTAGCTGTGTGTGGACTACTGATTTCTCTTGAGGGCTGAACTGTAGGATAGTGGTGATGGCGTTCAGCATCTGCTGTTTAGCCTTGGGATCGAAGCTCGTCAGGAATTTATATGTCACATTCTTAAGATACTCAAGATTAGCACCTTCTCTGGCCTTACTCCTATCATTTCGTCGGATTTCTTCCGTCAACATCTCAATTCGTTCAGTTAGTGATTCCTCCTTAGAATGACTGTTTAATTGTAATTCTCTAAGAGCAGACTCAAGTTCATGCTTTTGTTTACGTAATGCATTTATTTCTACCTCCTTTCTGGAGAGTTCTTGTCGGTAGAACAGATTGGAATCCCCTTGATTCAGGGAAGACATGTTCAGTAACCTTGACACTGCTCTTTCCTCCTCAGACTTACCCCCAGGGAATTCTGCCGAAGCCCCTGAGTCAGGAGGATTTTGAAGAAAATAACGTTCATCATAAATAGGCATGGAAGCCTTTAACATCTCAATGTCACGATCTTTCTCGGCCAGTAAAGACACCGTCCGTTCACGCTGTTTCCGAATCTCTACTTCTAACTCACTTTTCTGATGTTGATATTCGGCCTCTAAGTGGAGAATTTCTGCCTTGTGTTTTTCCTGTACAGACACCAGTGTTTTGTGGGCTGTCTCTAGTTTTGCTTTCTCTTTCCCTAACTCTGCCTCATGTTGTATATGTAGAGATTTATTTCTCTCCCTGAGTTCATTCAGCTGAGATTTCAGTGTGTCCATTTCCTTACTATTCCCTGTGTCCTGTAACAGAGATTTATTTTTCCTTTGATTCAATTTACATAGCATAATAATACTGAGATATCTAAAAATATCAATACCAGTGAGATTTACTGAGTTTGTATAATTTTGAGTACTTTTGAGATTTATTTATGAGCACACTCTGAGCCCTGAGTTTGTATAATTTGAGTATACCTTTGAGGTTTTATTTTTGAGCACACTCTGAGCCCTGAATTTGTATAATTTTGAGTACCTTTGAGGTTTTATTTTTGAGCACACTCTGATCCCTGAGTTTGTATAATTTGAGTACCTTTAAGGTTTTATTTTTGAGCACACTCTGATCCCTGAGTTTGTATAATTTGAGTACCTTTGAGGTTTTATTTTTGAGCACACTCTGAGCCCTGAGTTTGTATAATTTTGAGTACCTTTGAGGTTTTATTTTTGAGCACACTCTGAGCCCTGAGTTTGTATCTCTCATATTCCTCCTTCAGGTTCTCCCATTCCTCTCGGTTCTTTCTACACTTGGGACACTGTCCATCCTCATCTCGCAGTAAATCTGAGTAAAAATTCCACACAATCAAATGAATTTAATGTTAACTAGGAATGGGTATTAGCTGGAAATTTCATATTGTGATAAACTGTGATATTTTTTAATTTTTTTGCAATATATTTTGCAATATTAATTTTTTAACTTCCATTTAGTAGATGTACATATCTATGATAAAAAGCCAAAAAAAATTGTTGATATAATTACAGTTATGCATTGGAATGCACACAAACATCTTAAACTTTATATTTTATTACAGAAATCCTGAGTCAAAGCATTTTGCCAGTCAATAGATACTAGAAAAACATATCGCACTACAATTTATATTTTGTCAACAAACCACAAAGTAACAGAATTTGGATATTATTACTTAGCCTTAATTTTAACTCAAACAAAAGATGTTTGTTGAAACAATTACATGTGTATGCCCCCCCACCCCCCAAAAATTTGAATTTTTCTAAGTCCAAGGGGCATAACTCTGTCAAAAATTGCTCAATTGTACCCAAAACAGAACTTGACCTAAATATTCTTATGATAAATCTGTATACCAAATTTCATTTCCGTATGTGCACCTCTGCGAAGAAAATGAACGGAAACTGCAAATATTTGGAATTTTTCTAAGTCCAAGGGGCATAACTGTCAAAAATTGCTCGATCGTACCCAAAAGAATTTGACCTAGATATTCTTATGATAAATCTGTATACCAAATTTTATTTTAGTATGTGCAGAAAATGAACGGAAACTGTTGGTGGACCAACAGACAGACCGACCTACCGACAGACAGCAGGAAAGCAATATGTCCTCCCTTATTTAAACGGGGGCATAAAAAGTTGTTCATCACAATGTCAAAAAGCCGCAAAGAAATTATACCAGTACAAGTCTAAAAATTATATACTACTGAGTTCACATTCACTATCAAAATAAAAAACACAACAAAAAACAATGCAATGATTGTCATGATCAATTATGTTCATTGATGCAGGAAATTCAGAAAAATACACAGGCCAAATTATTTCAAAAGAAAGTTTACTAAAATAGCACCATAAATGGTAAAACTAAGTTACCTTCCAGTAAAACAGGAGTAGCAGTTCTTTTATTGGCTTCTCGTAGAAACCCCTGTAGTTTGACAATGAGATCACCCAGCTGTGATGCCTCTAAATTCCTCCACTCTTCATCATAGTTCCCGATCTGACTAGCGGACCGTGACAGCGCAGTATTCTCCAGATCAAGCTGCGACATGCGATCCTTCAGTTTCTGTATGGTCTGTTGATCCTGGACCTTGTACCTCTCGTAATTTCCCACAAGGTCCGACAACTCAGAGATTTTAGACTCAAGGGCAGACACACGGTTTTCACTCTCCTGTCTGTAACGCTCGAGTTTAGCTTGGGACTCGGAGCTTCTCTTCTGTTCCTCCAATAGCTGTAACTGGTACTCCTTCTATTTATAAATAAAACAAAACAAAAAAAAAAAAAAAAAACTTAATATTCTTCAGAATAAAATGGGAAAAAAGTTTCTATTTCTGATAACTAAAGTATTATATATTATAATGACACTTTTTCATAATAATACAACAATGTACATTTTATCCCTTCACTAACACATTATTTCAATAAAAAAATAATATCTTCAAGTAAAATTTTTTTCCTCTTTGTTTTTTGAAGCATCATCAAAGTTTTGCAAAAAGTACCTTCATTTTGGACATATCATTCTGCAGTTGTATGAGACCTTCTGGAGGCATTTCGGCTTTGATTTTCTCTGCCTCTAACTTTCCTCGGACCTCTTTTAGTTCTGCAGTCAGATCCGTTATTTTTTTCTCGTAGGCTTGGGACATACTGGGTAAAAGTTGACTTTTCTCTGAGAGAGTAAACTTCAGATCATCCACCTACAATACAGAGCATCATAATTCAGTACATTCATTTATCCCAAGTCAAAGTAAAAAAAAAAAAAAAAAAAAAGAAATCGGGAATACTGAAAAGAGGGAGACCCAAAATCTTCTTCAAAAAACAACTGAGGCTGAAAGGAAAGAACAAAGCAGAAGCTGGAGTACACTCTAGATGCTACATGTACCCAGTCACAAACTCTCTAAGCAATCTCAAAATGTGACATGTATTTACTGTTTTTTCAGCACTCATTTGTTATGTTCTTGTATACCTAGTAATGTGTTTTTTCTTGAATTTAAAGACATTATGAAAATTGACAATAAGTTCTTAAACAGAGAATGTGGGAAGTGATTTTTTATTTCCTAACCTGATTTTCCAGCTGGTCTTTAGAGGTACGTTCCTGAGCCAGTAACTTCTGAAGTTCTCGTAACATGAGGGCGTGGTCATTCTGTTCCTTCTCTCTCTCTGTCTGCTGCTCCCGAATACGCAGCTTCAACTGCACAAAAATGACACAAAAGGGAGGTCACTCTTACTTTATGAAACATAAGAAAAGGTCAGAACAAATGGCTACAGTAGAAGTCTATTGATTTTGCATTCAATGCCAATATACATGTACCTGTAGATAATTATTCTGCAAAAGTGAAAATACAATTGTGAAAGGAAATGTTATCATTTACACATTAAAAGTTTTAATACCTTATTTTGTCCCCAGGCAGGATGGAGTTGCCTTTTTCAATCATGAACAATCGTCTTTCTACATACCTCTTGTATTTGCTTTTCTAGTTTTTTCTTGTCATTTTCCGATTTTTCTTTCTCCTCATTAATTTTTTCATTTAAATCCTCATTCTCTTGCTGAAAAAATGCCAATATTAGATCAGAATTACAAGTAAGATACATATATCAAATTAAATATAAAGCACATCATATGGTATAGTTTTTAAGAAAATTAAACTTTTGATTGCTATTTTACGTTTCATCTTTTTTTTTTTTTTTGCAATTTACTCATCCTACTGCAAAAAAAGGAAAATATAAAACTAAAGTAAATATAGAGTAGATGGTAGGTTAGTTAAACCAAATTATTTACTGTATTTATCCATACTTTGTAGCCAATCCTGTGTAAATCAGGCCTGATGCCTTAAGTGAATATCATCTTGGAATTTTTTAATCCTTTGCTTACCAGTAATCTTTTTTTGTCTGCCAGGTACACACTCTCTAACTTTGATTTCTCCTGTGTCAGAGTCAACAAAGATTCTGTCAGGGTCTTTATTTGGTCTGACTCCGAAGATCCTGCCTCAGATTTCTCTTCTTCCTTGCCGTCCCCCTAAAATTAAAATGTAGGATTAAGAATTTGTATTCAAACTGCAATGATATGTGTTTAATATATCTAATTTTGACCATGAAAATGTTTTAATCTTTAAGGCTTAATAAAGTCATGTACATCTAGGCATTCAAACATTACAACCAAGAAGACAACCCCCCCCCCCCCCCCCCCCCCCGAAAAAAAAAAATTCCACCTTATGAGTGGCCTGGAGAGGATCTGTAAACTGGTTCTCTTTCTTATCTGTTGTTGACTGGTGTTCCCCCTCCTGTTTATGTTCAGATGATGGTGAATCACTCTCAGTTTTCTTCTGAGAGAGAATTTTTAAGCTGGCATCTAATGCTTCCTTTTCCTTTGCCAGTCCTTTATAAGCCACAACCAAATCTAAAAGAGAATCATTTATTTTAATGTTGACTCAAGGCTGAAAAGGTTTTTTTTTTTTTTTTTTTTTTTTTTTTTTTTTTTAAATCTCTTCTTTCTGCTCTGGCTTGTAAAAGTCATAATTATACTTCTTCAAATCTGATTAAAATTCTGCTTTATTGGAAATGCAGAAGAAAAAAAAATCTTTTTTTTTGGTAACTTGTCAATTTGAAAATTTAATTTTAAATGTAAAGATGGTTTCAAACCTTTAAGCTTTGCCTCATATTTTGTAATTTTCTCTCTCTGTGCTTCAACTATCCTTAGAAGCTCATGGCGAGATGCTTTGTCCATGTCCAAAAACTAGTTTAGAACCTTGAGGAAAATGATAACAATGGTATTGTATTGTACTGTCAGCTGTTAACTGCAATAAACATTCAGTAATCAATATTACAAATCCTAAGTGAAATCTTAAATGAAATCCTCCAATAATGATGGCTGAAATAAGGCTCATTGAAATACAGAGTCACCAGACAAAAGAGTAGCAAAAAATACCACCAATAGTTCAGTGTTCACTATGGCAAGTGTTCAGAATTTTTACTTTTGCGAATAATTGTAATCAATTTCAAATCCTTTTACATTATAATATTACCAAAATTGCTGAGATGGCAACATATGTATTAAAACTGTAGGCTGTATATCACAACACTCTATGGTGTGGAAGTCTACTTGTTCAATGAAATTTCTGTTTAATTTATAAAGATATGACAATCTAAGACAGAATTTTTTTTAGCTGTTAAATTTCTGAATCAGGTCATTACATTGACATTTATGACATATCAATGAATATCATAAAGAAAGGGATCAATAAAATAAGACAATCTTTCAGGTTTTTTTTTTCAGATTTGGTTTTGTGGACTGACAGGAACTTAAAATGGGTTCATCTGTCATTTTTCAAATTGTCTGACATTCAGTTTTATAATGATTCTATTGGTAAATTCTAAAAAAAAAAAAAAAAAAAAAATTACAGGTGCTATCAATTGATTGGGACCGTGCTCCCCTAAAACATGCAACTTTTGTATTTGAACTTGTTATTCAGGACCTTGTGAATACACAAAAAAATAACTGGTTTGTTTGATCACTGTGACAACACTAAACTCAAATGTATGAATTTCTTTGAAACTTTGTTAACTTACAAAAAAGAAAACATGGAAATATTACAGAACATCACATAATACAAAAAAATCTTTTACCATAAAAAAGAACGGTTCAACGTTCATTCGTTACATGTCCATCAAGCTTTTTTTATGTTTACAGATGACATTTTCTACCGGAAGTGAAGAGGTGGCACATGCAGGTATTATTAAGTAGCACAAAATTGCTTCGTATTAATATGAAAAAAAGGTGAATATAACAATCAGTAGTCAATTTTATAAATTCTACAAACAATAAAAATCGAGACCATGAAAAAACAACGCAGCTAACAGGAAACACCGGGTGCTTAATCATTTAAACAATTGTTTATCTCCTGCTCGAATATCAGAAGTACGAGATATCATAGAAATCAATACATGTGTTACTGTGTAGTTTGTAGTTCTGATTTTTTGAGAATTCTTAAATATTGAACAGGTATTTAGCCATCATTTTGTGGTTCGATACATCTAGAACATAAACACAGTCTGTAACAATTTTTGTAAGTAAAATTAGTTTGTTAACCTGAGGTAAAATTAACAAACAAAACTGAAGACTGAACAAGGGACCTAGGACCATGAGTGAACATTAAAGAATCACAATGTCTTACTAATTATTTATGATATACACACTTTGCTAGTCTACTTTTCCGTTTTTAACGTCCATTTTAGAGCTGTCTTCTTATTTCAGTGATTTGGCCATGGAGAGAGTTAGCAAAGATGCCCGCTTTTCACACATCACTAAAGATCTACGATTTCGTAGAATGTCTAAAAACACACAGAAAGTTAAAATTGATAAACGCTTTAAAGACATGTTTACAGACAAACGCTTTAAGCTGAAGTATTCCGTGGATAAGAGAGGAAAACCAATGAATATGACAACTAACGAGAACCTGAAGAAGTATTACGAGTTGTCAGACAGCATGGAAGAAGATAATGTAGATGATGGCAAAGACAGTGAAGATGACAAAGATGAAAGTGATGATGATGAGGAGGCAGCAAAGAAATCAGGAAATCAAACAAAGACGAAAAACAAAGAAACAACAAAATTAAAAATGGACAATGTTAAGGAAGGCTTGAATAGTGATTCAGTGAAAAAAGAAAGTAGTGTGCCAGATAAAAAGAAAAAGAAACAGTGCAAAATGAAAGATTCAGTGAAAGAGAGAAAGAAAACAATGAAAGTCAGAAGTGATTCAGAAGAGGAGGTTTTAGAGCAAAACCTGGGAAAGGCTTCAAAGAAAAAAGCCATGAAGAGCAGGAAGAAGAAGACAGAAATTAAGGTCTAGAATTTAAAGTATTATTGTGATGACTGGGTATGTGAACATCTTTAACTCATTACTTTAACCGCATTATAATTTTGATTTAAATTTGTGTTTCTCAGGTGACAGAGGAAGATTCTTCTTCTGATGATGAGGAGGACAAGAAAGAGGAGGAGTTCAGGTTTGAGGAAAACTCGGATGATGAAGACTCAGGTGAGAATCTAGAGGAGCAAAATGACAGATGTATGGGGGAAGGGGGTTGAGGGGTTGCTTGATTTCTTCATCTTACTCTATTTATTGCTGTGTTTCATTGGTCATGCTTAATGAATTTATATACTGCATACAGTGAAATGTAGAAAATCCATCAAGAGAAAACTTTAGCCCAGTTTTAAGATTCATAAACCCTGTGCTCAATCATATAAATGTTGCTCTAAATTTATGATTTTCCGAAATAATGTATTTTATAAGTAAAATACAAACATTTATAATACTATAGCTTGCGGGGCAAAATTAAACAAAAGAGACTTTCAACTTGAGAAATCTATAAAAGGGTAATAGAGATTTATGTCATTAAGAGTTATCTCTCTTATCAGAGTATCAGTGAACCTTAAACTAGACTTACTGTTTTGATTTGTGACAGGTTTAGGGGAAGGCCCTGATCTGGCTCGAGGAGAAGGCAACGTGGAGACGTCCTCATCTGAGGAAGACGATGATAGTGAGGAGGAGGAAGAAAATCAGGGTAAGAAGTGGTTGATGAAGTTTTATATTAAAGTTTCAGAAAATAGCAGGGAACTGAGGTCATAACTATTTCCTGATTGTAGAATTGTTTTGCATGAATCATGCAATTAGAAAGATGTTCCTTCTGCATTCAAAAAGAAATTCAATGTATTTGAAAAAAAAATCATTGTTTTCAAATTGTTGTCAGAGCTGTTCCTAACTATTATGATTTCCACCCTCCACATTAAGGTTACATGTTAAGAAATCATGGTAAGGATAAAAGAAAATGTTGCCTTTATTTATCCTGAGCCAAGTTATACCTTGGTTAAATACCATGCTGTGCAATAAAACAGAATGACAATTGATGTGTTTTATTTAACAGAAGAGTTTGACCATGGCTGGGGAGAGCTTGATAAAGATGTTCACACTACAGAGGAACTGGGACACAGACTCTCTGTGTGTAACATGGACTGGGATAGAATCAAGTCTCAGGACATCTTTGTTTTACTTCATTCATTTGTACCAACAGGAGGCAGCATCAAATCTGTCAAGGTGTGAATTTCAGGTTTAGAATTTTCCTTGAGATTTTAACACAGTAATGTTCAAATGTGGTTGAAAGTTTCTGTTTTGCATGTTAATGATGTATTAAACTTTAAACTTTCTTCTATTGAGTTAAATGTTTCTTAAATATTATTTTTTTGTGTTGGCAGGTTTATCCTTCTGAGTTTGGTCTTCAAAGGATGAAGGAGGAAGCATTATCAGGACCAACAGAACTGGTCCAGGACAAACGAGAGAATCCTCCCGAGGCAGAGGGGGAGGAGGAGGATTATGAAGAGAATCAGGGTAAGTCATAAATTAGTCATCTCAAGTCATAAATAAGTCATCTCAAGTCATAAATAAGTCATCTCAAGTCATAGATAAGTCATCTCAAGTCATAAATAAGTCATCTCAAGTCATAAATAAGTCATCTCAAGTCATAAATAAGGCATCTCAAGTCATAAATGAGTCATCTCAAGTCATAAATTAGTCATCTCAAGTCATAAGTCATCTCAAGTCATAAATAAGGCATCTCAAGTCATAAATAAGTCATCTCAAGTCTGATTATCACAATACAACTTAGTCAGTGAGGTCATAAATAAGTCTTCTCAAGTAGCAGTCCTGAGAATTGTAAACTACCAAACGATATGATATGTGTCACGATACAGTCCAGTGATACAACAAGTATCAGGATAAGCTCAGAGTTAGGGTAAGTAAGAAATAAATGATGTTAGGAGTCAAGATGTCAAATTCATGGTGAGAGACCCACAAAGTCCACAAACACTTGTCCCACACAATAATTCTACTGTACAATAGTTCTGCAATAAATTGTAATATATAAATAATTATAATTGATAAATTTTCATTAAATATCTGATTGATTTTAATTTGTTAATCAAAGATACAGTCAAACCTTGATATCTTGCACTCAATGGGACCGAGAATAAACTTTGAGATATCAGAAGATTCAAGATGTCAACTCAAGGGTTAAATGTTTAAAGAATAAGTAGTGAGAGACTTCCAAATCACTTAGACAAATCCATGGTAAACATGTACATATATGTATCTTTGCAGGGACCCGTTACCATAGAGAGAAATTACGTCGTTACCAGCTCAATCGACTGAAGTATTACTATGCTGTCGTGGACACAGATTCTATAGGGACAGCCAGTAAGATTTATGAGGAGTGTGATGGAATGGAATACGAGTCCAGCTCGACCAAACTAGATCTCAGGTCAGTCTTTACTGAAATATGAGTCCAGCTCGACCAAACTAGATCTCAGGTCAGTCTGTGCTGGAATATGGGTCCAGCTCAACCAAACTAGATCTCAGGTCAGTCTATGCTGGAAGATGAGTCCAGCTTGACCAAACTAGATCTCAGGTCAGTCTGGTCTGCACTCTGGAATACAAATCATATTATGGATTTACAATGTTTGTCTATCAGTTTGTCTTTCCTTCTTGCTCTGTGTCAACAATGTAGTTGAAACTACCCTATTTGGACAAGAAAGAAACCATAAGAGAGTGTTAAGATTTTGCAGATACATATGGGGGTAAAGAACTTAATAATTTCTAAGAGAGTAAGATGAATTTTTAAAACGGAAGGATCTTCCTGAAAAGAATAAAACATGTTTCTCCAAGATGGTAGCATAATAGAGTCCTTATTCACATAGTGCATGTACAGGGAACATGTTTATTATGTTTTTGTCTACGACTGCATTCATATTAGTTGTTTATACATGAAGTATATGTACTTGACAGGTTTATACCAGATGACATGGAGTTTACTGAGGAACCTAAGTCCGTGTGTACTGAGATGCCTGCTGCCTACAATCCCTCATTGTTTGTGTCAACTGCCCTGGCTCAGTCAAAGGTCAGATCTTAATATAATGTGTCAGGTCAAAGGCCACACCTTTAATGTATCAGATCAATAGCAAAAACAATATGAAATCATCCTTGTTTATATGCCTAGATTTTTTCTGAGTTCAGGTGTGATAAATTTATAATAATTATAATAATATATTAGGTGAATTTAACCTGGGATGAAACAGACCAGGACCGAATCAAAGTGACTATGATGAACTCGTCACAAAGGAAGAAGACAGATGATGTTAATGAGGAGGACTTTCAGGCTTATCTGGCGTCCAGCTCTGAGGAAGAGGAAGACAAAGGTACAGCTGATTTTAAAGAATGTGAATAAAAGTTAGCAAAATTATCAAAAAAATAATAAAAATATAGAAATGTTAAAAAAAAATTACTGCTGCAACTTTCTTTATTATGGAAACAAATCAGAAATGTAACTACATGTTTAGTGAATTTACTATTTTTGTATGCATAATTTATTGACACACAAATGATTATTTTTACTTTAGTGTCATATTGTACATGTTGTAATACTAACACCACAATTAAACATCCCCAAAATAAATGTCCTTACATTCTTTTCTCCTGTCTATATTCAAGATGATGATCATCCTGTTGTTGATGAAGATGACAATGATAATGAAGATGACAATGAGGAGAGTCAGATACAGAAATATCGCAGTCTCCTCCAGTCGTTAGATAACGACAAAGACCAGAAGAAAAAGAAAGAGGTCGAAATGGAGGTCACATGGGAACCAGGTATCCATAGCAACCAAAAAAGATAATACTTAGTCATTAGTTGTGACTCAGTCAGAATTATATAACTGTTGTACTGGTCAATCATCTTGTGTGTTGCATGGCTGAGCTGGTAACAGAGTTTCCAGCAACATTTTTGCTTTCTTTATCCCTTCAGAACAGAACAATTTGTGTCAGTTTTAAGTTTTTATCAAGATGTCAACATTATTCATAATAGTTAATCATTAAGTTTAATTATTAATTTCACTTATTAAACGAGGAGTATTGTGACCTAATGATGGGTTGTTGACAGGATTAAAAGAGACAACAGAGAAGATTGTGAAACACAAAGAAAAGACAAAAGACCAGACTCCGTGGGATCAGTATCTGATGAAGAAGAAAGAGAAGAGACAAAGAAAGAGAGAAGAAAGAATGAGCGGAAAAGTAAGAGAGAGAGAAGAATGGGTGAACAGAGAAGTGAGAGAGAGAGAAGAAAGAATGAACAAAAAAGTAAGATAGAGAAAGAGAGAAGAAAGAATGAAGAAAATTATGAGAGAATAAAGAAAAGTATGAGAGAGAGAAACAATAAACAGAAAAGTAAGAGAGAGTTAGAAGAAAAGATGAACAGAAAAGTAAAAGAAAGAGAGAAGAAAGGATGAACAGAAAAGTAAGAGAGAGAGAAAGAATAAACAGAAAAGTAAGAGAGAGAAGAAAGGATGAACAGAAAAGGAGAGGAAAAATAGTAGGGAGACAGAGAAAGAGAAAAGACGAAAAGAAAATTTGAAGAGAGACAGAAAAATGGAGATAAAGAAGAAAATTGTTCATTATGAAATAATATTCCATATAAAAGAACTCTGTTTGCCTGTTTTGTAAATCTTTTGCCCTGTTTATGCTGACTAAAATTTAAGTATAGTCAGTATGTATCCATGTAATAGCCTCCCAAACAATAACACATGTAACTCCTTTTATTGATGTTGAACAGATGACGAGTGATAAAGAACCAGAGGAACAGGCTGCTTTCAGTGATGATGATCTACCAGCAGGTGTAGACGAGGATCCATTCTTCAAACAGAGTCTGGACAGTGAAGATGGAGAGGACAGGAAACCAAAAGGTAGACATGTTGGAATAATTACTGAATAGTTTGATATCATAGATCTGAAAGAAACATCATGATAAAATGTACAGGAAAAACGTGTCCCAGAGATGTATATTTTAAACTAAAATTGAGACATGATATGAAAATGTAATTTTTGTGCCCCCTTTCGAAGAAAGGAGGGCATATTGCTTTGCTGCTTCTGTCGGTCCATTGGCCTGTCTATCTGTTGGTCAACCAACAGTTTCCATTCATTTTCTTTGCAGAGGTTGCACATTAATGATAAGAATATCTAGGTCAAGTTCTATTTTGGGTGCGATCGAGCAATTTTTGACAGAGATATGCCCCTTGGACTTAAAAAAATTCCAATTATTTGCAGTTTCTGTTCATTTTCTTTGCAGAGGTTGCACATACTGAAATGTAATTTAGTATACAGATTTATCATAAGAATATCAAGGTCATGGTCTGTTTTGGGTACGATCGAGCAATTTTTGACAGAATTATGCCCCTTGGACTTAGAAAAATTCCAATTATTTGCAGTTTCCGTTCATTTTCTTTGCAGAGGTTGCACATACTGAAATGTAATTTGGTATACAGATTTATCATAAGAATATCTAGGTCAAGTTCTGTTTTTGAGTATATGTCCAAAGGAGGGGGGGGGGGCATAAGTGTTTCACAAAATCTCTTGTTAATTTTGAGATTGGCATTTAGTATTAAAAGGTGTTTTTGCAAATGTTAGATTATCTGATTAATGTCTGTGTGAATATATGGTGAAAAAATATTAACATTTTTTAAACCTTTCACTTTACTAGCTGAGTCTAAGAAGACAAAGAAGAAAAAAAGGAAAGAGAAAACATTGAAGTCAATGACCAAAGATACAGAGGTAGTATTCCAATGATCCAATTGATGCTGTAACTACCTGTACATATATGTAATAAAAAGGAATGTTGATAACCTTAGAGCAGTGTTGAATCCAGGGAAAATAAATTTCGGGAGCACCTATTTGTTGATTTGAGGAGGGGGGGGGGGTTGGTTGGTAGAGGGATGAATCCATAAATGACTTATGTACATAATTTCATAAAAAGAATGTGGATAACCTTAGAGCAGTGTAGAAACAGGGGAAAAATTTATTCTTGAACATAATTTTGTTAATTTATGTATCTTGCATTGGGGTGGCGGGCATATTTTGTCTTTCACTCCCTTGGATCCATGTCACCACAATATACATGATCCTCTGTAACAACTACAAAAAGTTGCTTTTCAAAGAAAATGGGGGAAAAAAAATACAAGAAACAGACCTAAGTTTGTAAATACTTGTATTCTCTATTTTTTAGGGTGAACTGGAACTTCTAATGATGGATGAAGAAACTGACAACAGGAAACATTTCAATCTGAAGTCAATCATGAAAGACTCAAAGAAAAAGAAGAAATTATCTGGGGATCAAAAACCAGAGGAAGATTTTCAGGTATCAGAAAAAACCTTAACACCCCCTCCCCTTCCAAGTTGATTCCAAGTTTTTTCTAGTATGTAGTCCTGGGATATTCTTCATTTCATACATTTGTTTCAGATAAATTTCATGATAATTAACAAATTTCAAATAAATTTCATAGATAATTGATGGATTTTAGATAAATTTCGAAGAAAATTAATCAGTTTCATATAGATTTCATAGGTAATTTATCTTTTTCAGATAAATGTAAAGGATGACAGATTTACTGCCATTTTTGATTCCCATCTGTACAACATTGATCCATCGGCACCAGAGTTTAAGAAGACCAAATCAATGGAGGCAATTATTGAAGAGAAACTGAAGCGAAGGACATCAGGAAAAACCCAGAAAACTGTCAGCGGACAAAAACGGAAATCAGAGAGTGACCATATTAACACTGGACACTTGGCTAAGAAGCTTGATTCAGAAAGCATATCATCTCTTATTCATTCTGTTAAATCTAAAACACAGACTTTTCAGAACAAGAAAACGAAAAAATATGAGTTAAAAAATATTGTTAAAGAATTTGATGTTTTAAACAACTGATAAAAAAATAATAAACTTTTAAAAAAAAAAAGGGTTTTAAATGTATTTTTTATTAAATTGTCTAAATATATTTATAAAGATTGAAAGATTGCGCAGAATCACAAAGTCGGATATGTTAGAGTGGTCACATTCCTTGACTAAGGCAACAAATATTTAGCTAAGTCAGTAAACCAAGTGGAATGTTTCTGCCTAATATGTTGTCAATCTTTTTAGTATTTCAAGCTTGATGGTAAGTAGAGACTGTACTTCACTTCACCTTTTAATTACATTTGTGTTGTGTAGGTTATATTATGTATATGACCTGTATTTGTCAACTTCCATCGAATTATTCTTGTCAGAAAATGACCAATTGTACACTTTGAAAAAATTCTGGAATATGATCACTAAATAAAAAGATATCTGTTTTGTTAAGTATTGATTTGCAAAAAATATATTGTGTTCTTCTCACAAAGTGAAAAAATTTCTGAAGAGAAATCTCTTGGGGTATCTTTTTTTTTTAGTCTTGTTCACATTATTTGTGAATTATGAAATGGTATTAATTGACAAATTTAAAGTGCAAGCAAACGCAAATATCTCCATTTGTTTACTCATTGTATCAATAATATTTGTATAGTTTGTTTCAAGTGAGTTCACTTTTGATATTTAATTTTCTTCACTTGTGTGTTTCCATACTGAGCAACAAACAGATTGTCATTTTTATCTGTACACAGTCCCCAGGGTTGACACAGTCCACATTCTATGTAACGGAGGAACAGTCCATCCTGGTCTATGATGTGGACACAGTCATTGTTAGAATCAGCTGTAAGGATGTGACTCTGACTGTCTGTGGTGATTCCTCATGGACTGAATGGTTGGTTTTTTGGAGCAGGAGTATGGCCAGTGAACTTGAATCTCAGTTTCCCGGCCTGATTGACCACCACTACTGCTCTAGCTCCTAAGTCAGCCACACAGATATCTAGGTTCCTGTTCTCTGTTATGTGCATGAATAAAAGACTTTGTGAATATAGAGAGTTGCCTTCATCATCAAACTGAATGGTTTGTTTTTCAATGGAACTGTAACAATATTTGATCGGGTTCGATGTTCAATTTATGCTTACAATTTACGCCATGCTTGTTCACATGTTCTAATAGGTTGCACAACAGTATTAAATTTTGCTATATATTCTTACCAAAAATGCGCAACTTTGAGTAGGTGGTATTAATTGAAAACAAACTTTTGAGAAGTTTCCTTTTCACATCTTGTAAAACAATTCTTTATAAAGATTTTAGTACCAAAAAATACATAGCCATCCAGCAAGGCACGCAAGTTTGTCTCGCTCGAAGTCGAGCAGGTGCTTGAAAATCAAGTCCAGGACCTAATCACTCCCCACTCAAATACAGTACATAGAAAATTCAGCACGCCCTAAATTTTAATGAATCTAGTCAATATAGGAAGTTTACATATTGTTTTTCATCTCATAAAAAAATTCAGCTCCAGTCTCGTGTTAAAATGCCCGAATCGGAAGGGAAGATTCAGGAATTATTTTGCGTCAGCCATGATTTGACGTGAACCTCAAGTGAAATACTGTTACGACACCTGCAATAAGAGTGAAAATTTTTGCTTGCCAGTATAATGCTATTTTCCCGATCTGTAATGAATATTCAATGTAATAAAGCAAGTTTCATAAAAATCCGTCTCAAGGTAGGAAAAATATTGGCGACACTCGGTGACAGGGGTGTTCGCGGTGAACACGGATTTCTAAAAATATGGCAAAAGTTGAACTGTATGTAATGATCTTGCGCGTTGAACTTTTGTTGTTTTTTCGTCTCAGATTTTTAATTAATGCATACTGATTCACATAAGGATTAAAAATTATTTAAAATATGTTTGCTTTTTATAACAGGGCGAAAGAAGTAGTCTTTGTCATAAGGAAGGGGGGTGGGGTTAAAAAGAGCATTGAAATAATACATATTATTGAAATATCATGGCGTTTTCTGCTTAATTACGATTGTTTTGCCTAAATAATTCTTTTAACGAACTAGATTTCTTTATCTGTTACCGCTGTGTTCCAAATTAACGGATATTTACACATATTCAGAATTTTTATTTTGCTCCGGGTTTAGTCTAAATTCTTTAAATTGATAGATTTTGAAATTGTTTATGAGTAAATAATGTTAACGAGTGTGATGGCAAGGTATTTGTTAAAGTGTCCTCTAATTTTCATGCATTTCTCTCAACCCGATACATCAAAATCAGGCCCTTGTGTGGTCAAGATAAATTATTTTAGAGGAAATCTGGACTAATTTTCTATGCTCCATTAAACGCGAACGAACAGCAATGACGGTCAAAAAATGCCATTATTTCTCATTTTCCGTCTAAACTCACGAAATTAAACCTTAAATTATAGACTACAATATTTCGAAGTATAAAATCTGCTTTTACTGCAGGTTGCACAACAGTATTAAATTTTGCTATATATTCTTACCAAAAATGCGCAACTTTGAGTAGGTGGTATTAATTGAAAACAAACTTTTGAGAAGTTTCCTTTTCACATCTTGTAAAACAATTCTTTATAAAGATTTTAGTACCAAAAAATACATAGCCATCCAGCAAGGCACGCAAGTTTGTCTCGCTCGAAGTCGAGCAGGTGCTTGAAAATCAAGTCCAGGACCTAATCACTCCCCACTCAAATACAGTACATAGAAAATTCAGCACGCCCTAAATTTTAATGAATCTAGTCAATATAGGAAGTTTACATATTGTTTTTCATCTCATAAAAAAATTCAGCTCCAGTCTCGTGTTAAAATGCCCGAATCGGAAGGGAAGATTCAGGAATTATTTTGCGTCAGCCATGATTTGACGTGAACCTCAAGTGAAATACTGTTACGACACCTTAATAAATGTAGTCTAGTAGAAACTGACTTTTCCATTACGCCACACGGCAGCAGCTTCTTACATGGTGTCAGAAGTGTCGGACCATTATTAGTGAGTACGGGGATTGAAAATATTGTGTAACCAGCCACAATTAGAGACAAATTGACATTTTCCTTTGTTATTGTTCGAGAGCGCGCCAAAATCAACAACAATGGAAAACGTACTTCATCCGCCCGAAACAATGGATTTCGATGCTAAAAATCTTTCTCAGACCTGGAAGAAATGGAAGGAAGAGGTGTTACTCTACATAGATATCAGCATGGAGAAAAAACCAGAGCCACAAAAGGTGAAACTCTTGCTGTATCTTCTGGGACGCAAGGGGAGAGAAATCCATAGCACGATGCAGTTTCAAACTACCGATGAGCATGGGAACAAAGTGAATATGGAAGAGAAAAATATTACTGTAAAACTCATCCTCGCAGAATTTGACAAACACTGTAATCCCAAGAAAAACGAAACAGTCGAGAGGTACAAATTCTACAGTCGAAACCAGCAGACAGGTGACACATTTGACAAATTCTTAGCAGAAGTTAGAATTTTGGCTGACACTTGTAACTTTGGAACTCTCAAAGACTCAATGATAAGAGACCGAATTGTTTGTGGCGTAGGTGATTCTGGGTTGCGAGAAAGGCTTCTACGTGTGGCCGATTTAGACTTGGAGAAATGCATTCATGTGTGTAGAGCCACTGAAGTTTCCAAGGAGCAGAACAAGGAAATTCAACCACAGGCTGCAGGAATATCTGTGCATGCAGTCAACTCGCACAAGAAGAGCTTCAAGAAACAGCCACAAAAGTCCCAGAAACCACAGCAACAGGTACAAGCGAGACAAGAACCTAGTCAATGCAAGTACTGTGGAAGTCGCCATGCCAAAGGAAAGCGAAATTGCAAAGCCTATGGCCATCAGTGCAGGAAGTGTCGCAAACTTCATCACTTTGAAAATGTCTGCAATTCCACCAAGTCAACAGTCCATCAAATCCAAGAGAGTGCCGAATCAGACTCTGATGATTACTTCTCTATATATAGTGTAGATCTCAAAAACAACAGCGAGTCAGTAAATGCAATTAACCAAGCTTCTGCAAACAAGGTATTTGCCACCTTGTCGGTCAACGGACAGTATGTGAAATTTCAAGGACAGTGGGGCGACCTGCAACATGCTCCCAAGAAAGTATTTGACAGATAACAATGCAATCACAGAGACAGACCAAATACTCAGCATGTATAACAACACGACAATCAAACCTCTGGGCAAGTGCAACCTAAAATTCAAAAATCCTAAGAACGGAGGAAAATACAAAGCGGATTTCGTCATACTGGATGGCTCGTGTCAACCAATACTTGGTTCCAAAGCTTCACAAGCCTTGAAATTGATCACTGTTGAGAACGAAAACATCCTTGAAATCAATGTGAGAAAACAACCATTGACAAAGGAGAACATTTGCAGAGAATACCATAATGTGTTTACTGGCCTAGGACACCTGAAAGGAGATTACAGCCTCCAGATTGATCCGAGTGTCAAACCAGTTGTTCATGCTCCACGGAAAGTTCCACTCGCAATCAAGAATGACTTAGAAAAGGAACTGGAGAGACTCGTACAACTGGAAATTCTAGCCAAAGTTACTGAGCCTACACCTTGGGTCTCCAGCTTGGTTGTAGCAAGGAAGCCAAGTGGAAAACTCAGAGTCTGCATAGACCCCTAAGACCTGAACAAGGGACTGCAGCGAGCGCACTACCCTATGCCTACAATAGAGGACATCTTGCCAGATTTGTCAGATGCCAAATGCTTCAGCGTCCTAGATGCCAAAGATGGCTTTTGGCATGTTCGTCTGGACTACGAAAGCTCTCTTATGACTACTTTTAACAGTCCGTTTGGCAGATTCCGCTGGCTCCGCATGCCATTCGGTATCAACACTGCGCCAGAGGAATTTCAGCGTCGCCAGCATCAAGCACTGGAAGGACTACCTGGAGTCAAGAGTATACATGATGACATACTGGTGTTTGGAGAAGGAAACACAGAAGCAGAAGCGCAAGAGGATCATGACAGAAACTTTGTCAGACTCATGATGAGATGTAGAGAACAGCAGCTCAAACTCAATAAGGACAAGATGAAATTTCGACAGACAGAAGTAAAATTCATAGGCCAAACTATCACTAATAAAGGACTCAAGGCAGACCCCGAAAAGGTCAAAGCAGTCCTGGATATGCCAAATCCAACTGACGTAGCAGGAGTCCGACGATTTATTGGATTTGTGACATATTTAGCAAAATTCTTACCAAAGCTTAGTGACATCTGCGAGCCGCTGCGCAAGTTAACACAGAAAGATGTTGAATGGCACTGGACCCCACAACATGACGAAGCTGTAAAACAAGTGAAAAATCTAGTCACAGCAGATCCTGTGTTACAGTACTTCAATCCAGAAAAGGCACTAACACTACAATGCGACGCCTCGGAGAAAGGACTTGGAGCAGCTTTGTTGCAAGAGGACAAGCCAATTGCCTTTGCCAGCCGTGCCCTGACCGAAACTGAAACCCGCTACGCACAAATAGAAAAGGAGCTTCTAGCAGTGATATTCGGGCTTGAACGTTTCAATGTTTACACATTTTGGAGACCAGTATCTGTCCAATCAGATCACAAACCTTTGGAGATGATTGTGAATAAGCCTCTTTACAAAGCGCCAAAGCGTCTCCAGAGCATGCTGCTCAGGATGCAAAAGTATGAAGTAAATCTTAAGTACCGTCCTGGAAAGAACATGGAGCTAGCGGATACCTTAAGTCGTGCGTATCTGCCCAATGAGAAACCATCAAAGGCGGAGTCAGTAGTAGAAGCGATAAATATGCTACAATTCCTGCCAATTGCACCAAACCGTTTGAAAGACATTCAGGACGAAACTGCAAAGGATAATACCCTGCAAAATTTAGGCGCATCCATCAGAAATGGGTGGCCAGACTGCAAAACCTTAGTTCCAGAACTCATAGTTCCCTACTTTGAGATCAGAGATGAGCTGTCTATCCAAAATGGAGTCATTTTTAAAGGAGACAGAGCAGTTATTCCACAAGCACTACGCAAGGATATGCTGACAAGGATACATTCATCACACCTTGGAATCGAGGGATGCCTACGATGAGCCAGAGAATCTGTGTACTGGCCACAAATGAACGCTGAAGTTAAGGACTTCATACAAAAGTGTGAAACATGCCGCACTTTTGACAACAACCAAGGAAAAGAACCTCTACAACATCACGAGGTACCACCACGTCCCTGGGCAAAGCTTGGACTTGACATCTTCACTTTCGACCAACGTAACTACTTGATAGTAACTGATTACTTCTCAAACTTCTTCGAGATTGATGCCTTGGACAGAATGACATCCCATGAGATCATCAAACGACTACGAGCACAATTCGCGAGACATGGAATACCAGACCTGTGTGTGTCGGACAACGGTCCTCAATTTGTCTCCGAAGAATTTGCTAAGTTTGCCCAACTGTGGGAATTCCAACACGTAACATCTTCACCACACTACCCACAAAGCAATGGGAAAGCCGAACAAGCAGTGAAAGTTGCCAAACAAATTCTAAAGAAAGCAAAACATGCAAAATCTGATCCTTACCTTGCATTGTTGGATTTCAGGAACACACCTACACAGCATGTGGGAACCAGTCCAGTCATGAGACTTATGGGAAGGAGAACAAAAACACTACTACCCACGAAAGGAAAGTTATTACAGCCGAAAGATGCACCATTTGAGAAAGAGAAGATCGACAATGCCAAACAAAAACAAGCAGAGTATTACAACAGATCTGCACACCCATTATCGCAACTATCAGTTGGAGAGACTGTCCGAGTCAAAACCCCTAATAGACCATGGGAGAAAGGAACGGTTACGGAAGCAATACCGGAAAGGAGATCATACAAGGTAACGACCGAGGCCGGAGCAAACTATACGAGAAACAGAAAACATTTCCGTAAATCAAATGAATTGCCGGTGTCAAGAGACATTCCGTGTGATCTTCCGTGTGAGACAAATGAGGCCAAGGAAGTGGCACCCGATGTTCCAAAGCCAGTAACTGACCCTAAGAACACAGTTACCCGTTCTGGACGTGAAGTGAAACCGCCGGTTAAATACAATGACTATGTCAGATCATGATTTGTTGATAGACATTTAACTTGAGTAGATGCCAAGATAATTTTGTTTAGTGTAGCTAGGAACGCTTTATTCATTTCATCGATGTTGCATTTTACAAGTTTGCATATAATACTCATAGTCCAGTTTCTAGTCATATTGTTATTTTTTGCTAGTCAGTTCAGTAAAGCAGTACAGATGTTTTGATTCTAGTCACTTTTAAGCATAATATAAATTTATTCTTTGTCCATACTATTCTATTTAAAGAAAAGGGGATGATATTGTTCGGGTTCGATGTTCAATTTATGCTTACAATTTACGCCATGCTTGTTCACATGTTCTAATAAATGTAGTCTAGTAGAAACTGACTTTTCCATTACGCCACACGGCAGCAGCTTCTTACAGGAACTAGAGTAACGGACAACTTTTGTTTGTGTGTAATTATCACTGTTTATGATAACCAGGAGGTCACCAGGGGAGGTACTACAGACACCCCAAGGTCTCCAGTTTTGTAGCCTGATCACCTCCTCTATCTTCTCATTCTTCACAATGTTCACAGTTCTATCATCGTAACCAGTATAAACTAGATCTCCACCTTTTGTCACTGCTATGTCAGATGGCATTTTCCCTGACTTGGTTGTGATTGACTTGATTAGTGATCCCTGATTGATGCTGTAGAGTTTCATGGTGCTGTCATTTCCTCTTGTCCAGATTTCTTCATCACTCAGACAGGCCACATTGTAAAGGTAATCTTTATACCCAGTGTCTATGGTGTTGACAGTCTCTGGTTCATCAAGCAGCTATTTGACTGGAGTAGAGGATCCAGTGTCCTCTCGTAAAGAAGACAATGTAGTTCCTAACAATCTCTGTGCTGTTTTTAAATTGTAACCATGATTATCTGTGGTTATTGTTGTTGGTATTATTTTTCCAAACACTTCAAAGATCTGTTCCTGTACAGACGGTGGTGAAAATTGTGCCATTCTTATGTTAAATTTAGAGGGAAGTATCCTGTATTTCTTATAGTCTAATTGGAAGTTTAACACTTTCAAAATATCTGTAGAATCTATTAATTTGTGCAGAGAATTAATATCATCATTTATTTTAGAGGTGCATGTATCTACATTTGATAAATGTGCTTTTAGAGTTTCATTATCTTTGTTTTTCATCTCGTCAACTTCATCTTTAAGTTTCTTGACAAGTTTGTCAATTTCTCTGTGCCAGGCCTCTCCATGTTTTGTCATGGCTGTTGAGAGTTCTTCATATTTCACATCTATTTGACTTAGTGTATTTTGTACATCTTTTGCTATGTCCAAGTAGGTTGGACAGATGGATTCCTTCAATTCATTGATTTCTTTCTGGATTTTTGCTTTCTTCCTGGCAAGAATGTCTTTTAGTAAGTGGACGTCATGATCTTTGTGTTTTTTGGAGTCAATACAAGCGGAGCAAACCGGAATATTGCATTCCTTACAATGCAGCTCACAACTGTTATCTGTGTGAGTTGTACATCTAGGGAAGAGGAGAGCTGATTTTCTGGACTGAAATTTGACAACTTTGTGGTCCTTGGATTCATCAGATATCATATGTTTCCCAACACAAGCTGTACACAGGTTGACAAGACATGTATCACAATGCATCTGTACCACAGCGGTCTCACACAGGTCACATCGCATCACGTCCTGGGCACTGGTACGGGGGTCCATGGTTAGAAAATATAGAGCCCTGAATTAAAGAAAAAAAACATCAGCTTACAGTTGATTAAAAGTTGGCTTTTTCAGATAAAAAAAATGACCTTTTCTTGCAAAGTGCCCTCTGTGCTGCATTGGGCTATTGCAACGGAGAAGGGGGGGGGGGCAATATGTGCAATAAGAGTCGCAAGCAACAATATGTAATGTATTGATGGACGACAATATGTTGAAGTAAGGGTAGGGACCTGTTGCAGCCAACGACAATTAGATTGACGATATGTACCGTCACAGGGGGTTGGGAAGCTCAGAAGACCATATTTGACTTTGCAAACCGAAAGGTGAAGAAAAATACACATAGCCATGCAAAAAATATGGGGTAGGTATTCTATTTGATAGATAAATTACATTAATTAATTGTAAAATTTTAAAGAAAAATTGAAAAAAATTCTACATTATATTAAGTTTCTAAATTAATTCAACCATTTACCTTATTTTCTGTAATGTCGGCCATATATCTTGCTTATCTACCTATAGTGTTTATTTATATCCTCACATTGAAGCTAAGGGCATTTAATTGTCTGCAGACTGCTCTACGGTTACAACCTGTTTACCCTAGCGCATTCGTGTTCATCAGAATTCACAATTCATTGATCAACTTGCTTTAGTACTTTATTGAATTAATAAATAACATGGTTTATAAAAAATGGTCAGCTCAAATGCTGCATTAGACCAATTTAAGATTTTCGGTTTACCAAACTGTGTATGATTCTCTGTAAGGACATTTATTTTTTTTATTCTCATGTAGTGTGCATTGAAATCATCTTTTCCCTCCACATTTGCAAGCTGATGACCAGCCTGTAGTTGATGATGACAATGATTATGAAGATGACAATGAGGAGAGTCAGATACAGAAATATCGCAGTCTTCTTCAGTCGTTAGATGATGACAAAGACCAGAAGAAAAAGAAAGAGGTCGAAATGGAGGTCACATGGGAGCCAGGTATCCATAGCAACCAAAACAATAAAATTTGGTATTATTTGATGAATTGTAGGGGGAAGGAGACTGGAAGAGTTTAGTCAGAATTTTTATACTGCTGTATTGGTCACTCATCCTGTATGTTGCATGCTGAATTGTCTGTCTTCAAGAAAAAAAGTTTGTTCAGCAAATATTTGCTTTAATAGTTCTTTCAGTAAGGATATCATGTGAGTTACTTTTGAGCCTTTATCCAGATGTCAACATTGAAGTGGATAGCCACGAGGCAATGTTGTACATTCAGTGAAGACTGATTCCTCTGAATTAATTATTTTTGATAGGATTAAAAGAGACAACAGAGAAGATTGTGAAACACAAGGAAAAGACAAAAGACCAAAAGAATCAGCAAAGTCAGTGAACAAGGATACAGAGGTAGTGTTCCAACGATCCATTTAATGCTCTAGATAAAGCGAATACATATAATTTATAATTGTAGCAGAGTAAATTGTACTGAATTGATAAAATATAAGGATAATAATTGTTCCGTGGGCATATTTATTCAAGGTTGATATATTTTTGGAAAGGGAGGGGGGGGGGCAGTAACACAACGAGGCTTTTCTCTTTTAAGAACAACAAAATGTTGCTTTTTGAAGTTACATTTTAACTAGAAAAGAAAAAAAAATCACACGGAATTGTTAAAACTGACTGTTATGTTTGTAGATGAAATATAAAGATAACGGACAGTATTCAATGAAACGATACAAATTTGGAGGAGCAAACACGGACCTCAAAAGTTAGAGGTGGGTTCAGGTGCCATGGTGGTGTGAGGAAGCATCTTCTGCCGACCGGTCACACCCGCCGTGTGCTCCTTGTCATGATAAAAAAAACCGGAAAAATCCGTGACAGTTCAGTGTACATGTATTAATAATTGCCTAACAATTAGTATGAAAAACGTCAGTCAGCTCCTCGGAAGTGAATTAAGACTACGTATATGTGTTTCTATGCAAATGAGCTAATAAAAATGCATAAAATGCGTATCTTTTATACAGAGAAAGTATGAATTTTATTTTCTTATATATACTTAGTACCCACAACATGTTAAAGCTAGTGACGTCATATATCATGACGTCATTGTTCTTTTCAATTCAACACAGCATCGGAGCAAGGGCACATCCTATTCAATTTTAAATATTTTACATTTGCTATGTTTTACTACTAAGCCAACTGTGAAATTGATTTGAATACCATTTTCGTGTATACTCACGCGTAGAAATATGCACGGAGAAACTCGCGCGAAAGTGACGTCACAATGAGCTACAGAGACGTTAATAAAAATGTAACGAAATAGGGCAGCGAATAATTCAAATATTGAGTATATTTTTGTGATTTTGAACATGTAAAATGTAAATATAAGGAAAGTTTTTCAGTTAAGTATGAATTATTGGTGTGTAAATCACACAGAATTGTACGTAGGCATATTTTTCATAAAGCGCTAGCGCGCTTCATGAAACATTCCTTATATGACTCACACAAAATTTAAAAACATTCCTTAAATAAATAATTTAAATTATTAAAAAGAATATTCTTAAAATTAATACAATCGCTGCACAAATCCTATGTATGCAGTTTATCATTTGATAAAAAAAAAATGAGGAAACTTACACCAGACTGTGAATTTTTACCTGTTTCAACTCAAAACTTTGCGAATAATAAGTAACAAAATAGTAAGTAAACAACGGAACTGTCGACATTTGTGCAGCATTTTCATAAATCCTTATAATATCCTGCTTCTGCTTATGTCTTGTTTCTATAAAACAAGATAAGACATGCCCTTGCGCCGAAGCTATTTTGTTGATGTTCCTTATAAACTTGTGTAGTAAGAACGATGACGCCATAATATGACGTCATAATGTGCACTGGTTATCACATGTCGTGGGTTCCAAGTTTGTATGAGAAAACGAGTTTTAAAGTTTTTCTGTACGATAGGTATAGCCTTTATGCGTTTAAATTAGTTCATTTGCATAGAAACGTCCATATTTAGCCTTTACTCACTTGTGTCGATAGGTTGTATGTGCTGACAAGGTCATTGTATCGACCTTAAAACTTACGAAATGATGACTTCAAACGAGACTGTTGATATCCTTGTTTCATTAACTTGTTTGTCAATAGCTTGCCTCGTTTTAGAAATTGTTCAAGCGTAGAACATGCTCTTGCGAATCGAATCATCTGAGAGACATAAACCCCATATGACGTTTGAAAAGTTGAAGTCATCACGTTTATTATAAAGCTTTGTTGTTTTGTTACCATTAACGTCATTTTCTAGTAAAATATCTAAATATGAAACAGTTGTGTCAGACTATGTGGTGTCTTTTATTTCAAGCTCACAGGGATATATCGAGTCGACATATGAATGGAAGTAACTATTGTTAATTGATAATACTTCGTCGATATATCGAAATGTTGAGTTGAATGCAACAGCAAGTTAAATGTAAATGTGCAGAAGCTAGCCTTCAATGATTACCAGCCTTAAATTTTAAGAGAGCTTAACTTTGTACATGTTCCAGCATGTACTGTAATTTTTACTTTAGGGTGAGCTGGAATTTCTGATGATGGATGAAAAATCAGGTATGAGAAAGCATTTCAATCTGAAGTCAATCATGAAAGAATCAAACAAAAAGAAGAAATCAATTGGAAACCAAAATACATAGGGAGATTTTCAAGTTTATTTATGATTATGGTTTTTGTTTTTTTGTTCATTCAGTTTTCTAAATGTGTTTTGTTTATAGTCCTAGATTATTCTTCATTTGATATTTCTTTTAAATTAATTCAGAATAATTAATATATTGCAGACAAATTTCATATATATATATATATATATATATATATATATATATATATATATATATATATATATATATATATATATATATATAGAAAAGGTCAAATTTTTATGGTTTGATTGAAAAATGTACCCGTGAAGGGATTTGATTTCATGGAAGAAGAAATGTGTCTTGATATAAATTATTAATTACATGATGGACATGTGGTTTTCTTCATACCATGAGAACAATGAAAATACCCCCCCCCCCCCCAAAAAAAAAAAAAATCACAGATTTCACAGTAATCAATTTGAGGTAATGTTCATAGATACCTACTCAATTTCAGATAAATGTAAAGGATGACAGATTTACTACCATTTTTGATTCCCATATGTACATCACTGATCCATCGTCGCCAGAATTAAAAAAAAAAAAAACAACTAAATCAATGGAGGCAATTATTGAAGAGAAACTGAAGCGAAGGACATCAGGAAAAACACAGAAACCTATCAGCGGACAAAAACGGAAAACGGAGAGTGACAATATAAACACTGGACATTCAGGTAAATCTGAGAAGCCAGATTCACAGAGCATATCATCTCTTATTCATTCTGTTAAATCTAAAACACAGACTTTTCAGACCAAGAAAAGGAAAAAATGAAATTAATGAGATTTTTCTTTTTGAAAATCTGAATGATTGGAATAACAGCTGATAATGATTATAAAGTGATCAAAGAGGTTGAGCATGTCACTTTGTTTCATGGAGTGAGACCAAAAGTGATTCCAAAAAATAGTTAAAAGACTCTGAGCATAAAATACTCTGTTTCCGGCAAACAGAGTATTTTATGCTCAGAGGGTATTCATGGTCCCGGATATCAAAGTACTTTTTGTTCCCCGCTTTCACTGAAAGTAGGGATATTGATTTTGGTCTGTCTGTCCGTCCGTTAGTCCGTCTATCTGTCAAACTGTCTGTCTGTAACTCGTTTCCGTGCGATATCTCGAGAAGTCTTTGAGCTTTCTCAATGAAATTTTACATAACAACTCCCCTGAAGAAGATCCCTATCGATTTTGAGGTCCAAAGGTCAAGGTTATAAATTCATAAATTCTGACTGTTTTACAACATTTTCGTTTCCATGTGATATCTCGAGAAGCCTTTGAGCTTTTGCACTGAGATTTTACATAACAATTCCTGTGGCCTTAGGAAGACCCATATTGTTTTTGAGG